GATGTCCCCCCCGTTTAAGGGCAATGTGTGGTGTAAATATTATGCAGAAAATTCGGAGTGTGGAAATTAGGAGAAGGTGTGAGTTAATAAAAGTATTAGTCAGAGGCAGAAGAGGGGTTGTTGAGGTGGTTTGGTCATTTAGAGAGAATGGATCACAGTAGAATGACATGGAAAGCATATAAATCTATAGGGAAGGAAGGCGGGGTAGGGTCGTCCTCAAAAGGGGTTTGGAGAGAGGGGTAAAGGAGGTTTTGTGGTAAGGGCTTGGATTTCCCAAAGCAAGCGTGCTGAGCGTGTTAGATGGGAAAGTGAATGGAGACGAATGGTACTTGGGACCTGACGATCGTTGGAGTGTGAGCAGGGTAATATTTATGAAGGGATCAGGGAAACCGGTTTCATATAGTCGGACTTGAGCCCTTTGGAAAATGGGAAGTACAATGCCTGCACTTTAAAGGAGGGGTTTGGGATATTGGCAGTTTTGAGATATGTTGTGTATCTTTATAGTTTATGCTTCTGACTGTTGTATTCTGAGCACCTCTGCAAAAACAGTGATAATGTGCGAGTGTGGTGAAAGTGTTGAATGATGATGAAAGTAATTTTTTTTTTGGGGGATTTTCTTTTTTTTTTGGGTCACCCTGCCCCGGTGGGAGACGGCCGACTTGTTGAAAAAAAAAAAAAAAAAAAAAAAAAAATCTTTATATATAATTAAGTAGTAGGTTGGTAGACAGCAACCACCCAGGGAGGTACTACCGTCCTGCCAAGTGAGTGTAAAACGAAAGCCTGTAATTGTTTTACATGATGGAGGATTGCTGGTGTCTTTTGTCTGTCTCAAAATATGCCAAGATTACAGGCATGTCTTGCTACTTCTACTTACACTTAGGTCACACTACACATACATGTACAAGTTTATTTATACACACCATCTAGTTTTCTGATTTCTCTAATAGTTTTTTGGGCTTATTACTTTTCCTTTTATATCCATGGAAAGTGGAATAAGAATCTTTCCTTCGTAAGCCATGCGTGTTGTAAAAGTCAACTAAAATGCCAGGAACAATGGGCTAGTAACTCCCTTTCCTGTAAAAATTACTAAAAAGAATAAGAAAATTGTCAAAGTGGGAAGTCTGAATGTGCATGGATGTTGTGCAAATGATAAGAAAGAGATGATTGTAGATGTTATGAGTGAGAAGAAGCTGGATGTCCTGGCTTTAAGTGAAACAAAGCTTAAGGGGGTTTCAATGGAGAGGAATAAATGGGATTAGGTCAGGGGGTTTTTAAATGGATTAGAGCTAAAGAAGGAGTAGCAATAATGTTGAAGGATAAGCTATGGCAGGAAAAGAGGGACTACAAATGTATTAATTCAAGGATTATTTGGAGTAAAGTAAAGATTGGATGTGAAAAGTGGGTTATAGTAAGCGTGTATGCACTTGGAGAAGAGAGAAGTGTAGAGGAAGAGAGAGATTTTGGGAAATGTTGAGTGAATGCGTGGGGGGTTTTTGAATCAAGTGTGAAGTAATGGTGGTTGGGAAATTTCATGCTAAAGTGGTTTAAAAAAGTTGTGGAGGGAGTTTGTAGGTAAATTTGGGTGCCAGGGGTAAATGTAAATGGGGAGCCTTTAATTGAGCTATGTGTAGAAAGAGATTTGGTAATAAGTAATACATATTTTATGAAAAAGAGGATAAATAAATATACAAGGTATGATGTAGCACATAATGAGAGTAGTTTGTTAGATTATGTATTGGTGGATAAAAGGTTGAGGGGTAGGCTCCAGGATGTACATGTTTATAGAGGGGCAACTGATATATCGGATCATTATTTAGTTATAGCTACAGTTAGAGTAAGAGGTAGATGGGAAAAGAGGAAGGTGGCAACAAAAAGTAAGAGGGAGGTGAAAGTGTATAAACTAAGGGAGGAGGAAGTTCGGGTGAGATATAAGCGACTATTGGCAGAAAGGTGGGGTAGTGCAAAGATTTAGTAGTGGGGGGGTTTGAAGAGGGTTGGAATAGTTTTAAAAAATGTAGTATTAGAATGTGGGGCAGAAGTTTTTGGTTATAGGAGGGTGGGGGCAGGAGGAAAGAGGAGTGATTGGTGGAATGATAAAGTAAGGGGTGTGATAAAAGAGAAAAAGGTAGCTTATGAGAGGTTTTTACGAAGCAGAAGTGTTATAAGAAGAGCAGAGTATATGGAGAGTAAAAGAAAGGTGAAGAGAGTATTGAGAGAGTGCAAAAGGAGAGCAGATGATAGAGTGGGAGAGGCACTGTCAAGAAATTTTAATGAAAATAAGAAAAATTTTTGGAGTGAGTTAAACAAGTTAAGAAAGCGTAGGGAAAGTATGGATTTGTCAGTTAAAAACAGAGTAGGGGAGTTAGTAGATGGGGAGAAGGAGTTATTAGGTAGATGGCAAGAATATTTTGAGGAACTTTTAAATGTTGAGGAAGAAAGAGAGGCAGTAATTTCATGCACTGGCCAGGGAGGTATACCATCTTTTAGGAGTGAAGAAGAGCAGAATGTAAGTGTGGGGGAGGTACGTGAGGCATTACGTAGAATGAAAGGGGGTAAAGCAGCTGGAACTGATGGGATCATGACAGAAATGTTAAAAGCAGGGGGGGATATAGTGTTGGAGTGGTTGGTACTTTTGTTTAATAAATGTATGAAAGAGGGGAAGGTACCTAGGGATTGGCAGAGAGCATGTATAGTCCCTTTATATAAAGGGAAAGGGGACAAAAGAGATTGTAAAAATTATGGAGGAATAAGTTTACCGAGTATATCAGGAAAAGTGTATGGTAGGGTTATAATTGAAAGAATTAGAGATAAGACAGAATGTAGGATTGCAGATGAGCAAGGAGGTTTCAGAGTGGGTAGGGGATGTGTAGATCAAGTGTTTACATTGAAGCTTATGTGTGAACAGTATTTAGATGAAGGTAGGGAAGTTTTTATTGCATTCATGGATTTAGAAAAGGCATATGATAGTGGATAGGGGAGCAATGTGGCAGATGTTGCAAGTATATGGAATAGGTGGTAAGTTACTAAATGCTGTAAAGAGTTTTTATGAGGATAGTGAGGCTCAGGTTAGGGTGTGTAGAAGAGAGGGAGAATACTTCCCAGTAAAAGTAGGTCTTAGACAGGGATGTGTAATGTCACCATGGTTGTTTAATATATTTATAGATGGGGTTGTAAAAGAAGTAAATGCTAGGGTGTTCGGGAGAGGGGTGGGATTAAATTATGGGGAATCAAATTCAAAATGGGAATTGACAGTTACTTTTTGCTGATGATACTGTGCTTTTGGGAGATTCTAAAGAAAAATTGCAAAGGTTAGTGGATGAGTTTGGGAATGTGTGTAAAGGTAGAAAGTTGAAAGTGAACATAGAAAAGAGTAAGGTGATGAGGGTATCAAATGATTTAGATAAAGAAAAATTGGATATCAAATTGGGGGAGGAGGAATATGGAGGAAGTGAATGTTTTCAGATACAGTGGACCCCCGGTTAACGATATTTTTTCACTCCAGAAGTATGTTCAGGTGCCAGTACTGACCGAATTTTTTCCCATAAGAAATATTGTGAAGTAGATTAGTCCATTTCAGACCCCCAAACATACACGTACAAACGCACTTACATAAATACACTTACATAATTGGTCGCATTCGGAGGTAATCGTTATGCGGGGGTCCACTGTACTTGGGAGTTGACGTGTCGGCAGATGGATTTATGAAGGTTGAGGTTAATCATAGAATTGATGAGGGAAAAAAGGTGAGTGGTGCATTGAGGTATATGTGGAGTCAAAAAAACATTATCTATGGAGGCAAAGAAGGGAATGTATGAAAGTATAGTAGTACCAACACTTATATGGATGTGAGGCTTGGGTTGTAAATGCAACAGCGAGGAGACAGTTGGAGGCAGTGGAGATGTCCTGTCTAAGGGCAATGTGTGGTGTAAATATTATGCAGAAAATTTGGAGTGTGGAAATTAGGAAAAGGTGTGGAGTTAATAAAAGCATTAGTCAGAGGGCAGAAGAAAGGTTGTTGAGGTGGTTTGGTCATTTAGAGAGAATGGATCAAAGTAGAATGACATGGAAAGCATATAAATCTATAGGGGAAGGAGAGAGGGTAGGGTCATCCTCGAAAGGGTTGGAGAGAGGGGGTAAAGGAGGTTTTGTGGGCGAGGGGCTTGGACTTCCAGCAAGTGTACGTGAGCATGTTAGATAGGAGTGAATGGAGACGAATGGTACTTGGGACCTGACGATCTGTTGGAGTGTGAGCAGGGTAATATTTAGTGAAGGATTCGGAAACCGTTATTTGCATATAGTCGGACTTGAGTCCTGAAATGGGAAGTACAATGCCTGCACTTTAAAGGAGGGGTTTGGGATATTAGCAGTTTGGAGGGATATGTTGTGTATCTTTATATGTGTATGCTTCTAAACTGTTGTATTCTGAGCACCTCTGCAAAAAGTGATAATGTGTGAGTGTGGTGAAAGTGTTGAATGATGATGAAAGTATTTTCTTTTTGGGGATTTTCTTTCTTTTTTGGGTCACCCTGCCTCGGTGGGAGATGGCCGACTTGTTGAAAAAAAAAAAAATCTTTATATATGCTTCTAAACTGTTGTATCTGGGTGCATCTGCAAAAACAGTGATTATGTATGAGTGAGGTGAAAGTGTTGAGTGATGATGAAAGTATTTTCTTTTTGGGTCACCTTGCCTTGGTGGGAGACAGCTGACTTGTTAAAAAAAAAAAAAAACTTTAGATACCTTCCATGGGGAAGTGGAACAGAATTTTTCCTCTGTTACCTATGTGCGTCATAAGAGGCGACAAAAATGCTAGGAGCAAGGGGCTAGTAACCCCTTTTCCTGTATAGATTACTAAATTTAAAAAAAGAAACTTGTTTTTCTTTTTGGGCCACCCTGGTAGGATACAGCCAGTTTGTTGAAAGAAGAAAACTTAGATACTGGCCTCTTGATGATTGTACTACTGGGGAAACAAGAAAAAAAATTATTGTGATTATTTGTTTAGGAATTGGAAGAGTTGGTGGCCAAGATGGAAAATGAGAAGGAGAGAGACATCATTATTGATCAGCGTTTCCACCGAACCATCATCGGCACTAAAGGTGACAAGATCAAGGAGATCAGAGACAGCTTCAATCAAGTTCAAATCTCCTTCCCTGACCCAGGTGAGAACTACATAATTGTCTTCTTCATATGATTTAAGCACCTTAGATTTCTAAATTTGAAATTTTGCACATTGTTAAATACATATATATTTAACCTTTTAACATGGTAAAGCAATCATATATTAAATGTTTTGTGATCCTCCCAAAATTTCTGGCATGGATTGGGATACTTCATGTTAGTCAGGGATCTATTCTTGCTTTCAAGTCTCATATGAAAACACATTTTGTTGCTAGAGAAACCATACCACAGGTAGGGTTAGAACCCACGATCAGAGAGTCTGGTATGGTTTTTTTGCAATAGTGTCTACCAAACCATTGGTAGAGCTTATGATCCTGATGATCATACCATTTGTAGTTTTAATTCCAGTGAGGATATTTTATTTTGAAATCTATTTTACCAAGTCCAAAGAAAATAGACATCTGACCAGAAGAAGTCAGGTTGTGCCGACAGTCAGGTCTAGGAATGGAGGAAGGGAGGGAGAAACTAATAGCAGGGAGATAGGTGTTCACATAATAGCAGGGAGATGGGTGTTCACGTAATAGCAGGGAGATGGGTGTTCACATAATAGCAGGGAGATGGGTGTTCACATAATAGCAGGGAGATGGGTGTTCACGTAATAGCAGGGAGATGGGTGTTCACGTAATAGCAGGGAGATGGGTGTTCACGTAATAGCAGGGAGATGGGTGTTCACGTAATAGCAGGGAGATGGGTGTTCACATAATAGCAGGGAGATGGGTGTTCACGTAATAGCAGGGAGATGGGTGTTCACCATAATAGCAGGGAGATGGGTGTTCACAGTAATAGCAGGGAGATGGGTGTTCACATAATAGCAGGGAGATGGGTGCTCACGTAATAGCAGGGAGATGGGTGTTCACGTAATAGCAGGGAGATGGGTGTTCACATAATAGCAGGGAGATGGGTGTTCATGTAATAGCAGGGAGATGGGTGTTCACATAATAGCAGGGAGATGGGTGTTCATGTAATAGCAGGGAGATGGGTGTTCACATAATAGCAGGGAGATGGGTGTTCATGTAATAGCAGGGAGATGGGTGTTCACATAATAGCAGGGAGATGGGTGCTCACGTAAAAGCAGGGAGATGGGTGTTCACGTAATAGCAGGGAGATACGTGTTCAAATAATAGCAGGGAGATGGGTGTTCACGTAATAGCAGGGAGATGGGTGTTCATGTAATAGCAGGGAGATGGGTGTTCACATAATAGTAGGGAGATGGGTGTTTACATAATAGCAGGGAGATGGGTGTTTACATAATAGCAGGGAGATGGGTGTTTACATAATAGCAGGGAGATGGGTGTTTACATAATAGCAGGGAGATGGGTGTTTACATAATAGCAGGGAGATGGGTGTTCACATAATAGCAGGGAGATGGGTGTTCACATAATAGCAGGGAGATGGGTGTTCACATAATAGCAGGGAGATGGGTGTTCACATAATAGCAGGGAGATGGGTGTTCACATAATAGCAGGGAGATGGGTGTTCACAGGTTCGTAAAGTGCACTTCCTACGTACACAATGATGGCTGGTTAATTGGTGCTGCAGTGAGGAGGGAGGGTAAAAGAGAGGTGGTTTGGTTGAATTTTAAATTTAATTTTTTTTTTTTTATCACTTGAATTTGCTTGGTGTATGGCCATTTGATGCTTATTTGGTATACTCATATTTTTTTATGTTAATAAGAAGTAAAGAAATGTTGAATTTTTTCAGAATTTTGTATGGGATTATGACTCTTAAGAATATTATTTTTTCTCGGTGTTCAACCAAGTTCATTTATTTTTCGTAGATGACCACTTGGTGCACTTACGGTTAGCTCATAATTTTTTGGTAAACATTAATCAGGTACTATGAAATTTGCCGAGTTGGTGAACAAACCCCAATGTTTTACATGTTGTAATAGGTAGGCTTTGTGAGTATCCTTTATACACTATCAGCCAGGAATGCATTTTGGCTCTTCATGAAAGATATTCCATTCTTTTCACCACTATTTATTACACTTGATTGAAAACTCGAGTTCATTCTATTTCTCCCTACCATTTCTTATTACAATTTCCTTTAGTTTTTTTTTCATTGTCGTCACTTGAGTGGTTATTTTCCTCTATCTCTGAAGTGGCTTTTAATCTCTTACTTCTAATAAATTTATAAATTATTTTCTCCTAGGTGAACAGTCTGACATTGTAAAGATCCGTGGCCCTAAGGATGATGTTGACCAATGTTACATGTTCCTGAAGAAAATGTTGAAAGAGCTTAATGAAACAAACTACCAGGTTAAGGTCTCTATCTTCCGTCAGTTCCACAAGTTCATCATTGGCAAAGGTGGTGCAAATATCAACAAGGTAAGCTGCTTTTGCAAAAGAAAATTTTTTTTTATGGAAATGCTGGTTGGGATAATTTGTCAGAATTCAGTCTGGAGGATATACTGTAAATAGTCTGAGCAGCATTTATGAAGTGAGTCAGAGAGTGGTTAGCCTGAAGTATTATGGTGGTGTGACCCACAGCACCTGAATTCTGAAGAATGGGTGTGGATGTTGCAGTTCACACGGTCATTAACCCTTAAACGGTCCAAACAGATCGATGTTCAAATTCGTAGTGCTACAAAAGTAGATCTACTGTTTTTTTACATATTTTCAAATATAACAAAGAAAAATGTAGATGAAAGTTTTTTTTACACGTTTTCAAATGTAAAACAAAAAAGATCTACATTTTTTACATACTTTCAGATGTTGAAAAAACGTATATATACGTTTGGACCATTTAAGGGTTAAAATGTCATGTCCATACACTTACGGAAATACAGCTAGAGGATGATTGATCATGAATGTTCCTTCTTTGGGTTACTCTAGAATTCAGTAATGCAACCGAGTCGATCCCTCTGGCTAATTTAAGTGTAAATTATTTATTCCTGCTTGATGCCCAATACCAAATTCTTAGTTTTCAATCTGAAGCACATGAAGTGACTGGGTAGAGACTGCCTTAGAGGAAAAAGATAGACATGATAAACTTTTTCTGTTGATAACCCTTTCACTGTCGGTGCCATAATATTATGGCTTGCAAGCCAACGTCGGTCCCATAATATTACGCCAGAATTCTAGCGGCTTCAAATCTTGCAGAAGATAACTGGTAGACCTACATGTGAGAGAATGGGTCTGATTGGTCAGTGTGTGTGCAGTATAAAAAAATCCTGCAGCACATAGTACATAGAAAAAAGAAACTCCGACCGTGTTTTTGGTTTAAAACACCGACCTTGCGGTGTATTTTCATATGGTATTTATGGTTGTATTCTAGTTTTCTTGGTCTCATTTGATAGAATGGAAGATATATTACAGAAATAGAGATGATTTTGAATGATTTATGGACTAAAAGTGTCTTGAAATTGAGCTCAAAGTAGCAGAAATGTTCGATTTTTGCCGATGTTCAAGAGTAAACAGATCACATTACGCATCCAGTTCACATCAACTGGTGGGTCTGATATGCTTTCACAAATGCTCTGATATTATTTATACATTTTTACAATAATGCAGTTGTCTGTATAACAGTAAATCTTCTATTTTTTGTGTGAATAAAAATTCAAAATGGAAAGCAAGCATAATATAAGAGGGTCCTGGAGACGTGACTAATGAACAGAGAAAATGACTCACGAAATCGTAATGACAGGTAATGACAGAGAAAATGTTATTTTAGTTCTAGGCATGTTCATATTGTTAATTCTGGACCCTATTTTGAAATTGGCCTTACTTGAATTTTGTATAAAATTGGCGAAATTACCAATTTCTGATCACATTATTGGGTAGTTGAAATAGATAAATGGGTGGTTTCTTGTACTCAGAGCAAATGGGGTTCTGTCAAATGAGGCCAAGAAACTGTGAATACAACTGAAAAACCATACAAAAATACACTGCAAAGTTAGTGTTTTAATCCAAAAACACAGTCGTAGTTTTATTCTCATTATGCACTGCGTGCTGCAGGATTTGTTTTATATGATGCACACTTACCTCATAGATGCATTCTCTCATCTAGGCCCAAATTTACCACTCGCAGCTTATCTGAGTGAGCCAAGCTTATGACGTAGAACTACAGCATGGACCCTCGAAGGGTTAAAACACATAGGTTGAGATGGCATGCACAATTTTCCATACAAAGAGTAAATATATGTAATTTAGTTTCAAAGATTGAAGATAATCATCCTAGTCCCTATTAACTGCACATACTGCTTATTACCTGTATAAAGCATTGTTTTTAAGTTAAATTTGTTGAGAATAATTGTTTCTGATGAGGGAAACAGGTTAGCCAGATTTGAATCTTGGATGTTTAGAGTGACATCTGAACTGTCGTATCTGGGTGCCTCGGCAAAGACAGTGAGTGTGTGTGAGTGAGTGATGGTGAAAGTGTTTCCTATTTTGGTTCACCCTGCCTCGGTCTCTGACGGCCGACATGTTAAAAAAAAAAGTGGTTTCTGTATAAATTATTGTTATTGCAGTATCTGTATGTTGTATATTTGAAGAATGATTAACAGTTAGAAGACATGGTCATCATATAAAGCTTGAGATTCTTCAACAGATCAGAGAAGAAACCGGAACTCGCATTGAACTGCCATCAGAAGGTCAAAACAGTGATGAGATCATCATCACGGGCAAAAAAGAGAATTGTGAAAAGGCTCGTGAACGTATTCAGAAAATTCAGGAAGAGTTGGTAAGTTCTTGACGTAATTTTTCATCGTTGCAGTGTCTGTCACTATACAAAAAAATATTTCTGGTGTAATAAATTTATAGCACAATGTCCTTTATCCCCCTCTCCTCTTCCCAACAAACATATCACTACGTTATTTTCCTCAGTATTGGTTCAGACTTTTTTTTTTTTTTATGTGCAATAATATATTGCCAGTTAGATTACCAGTTAGATTACCAGTTAGATTACCAGTTAAATTACCAGTTAGATTATTTATGTTACCAGTTTTAAGCAGTTAAAATACCAGTTAGAATGTGCAGATACATTACTCAGTTAATTACTTTGATTACCTAGTTAGATTACCAGTTAGATTAACAGTTTAGATAACATTAATTAATTAGATTACCATGATCACCATTAGACACGGTCGAGATACAGTTTATTACATTCACTATCCACTGATTACCAAGTTAGATTACCCACTTAGATTAAATTTAAATACCTAACATTAACCCAAATTTCCTTACTGTGGCAGGACTCTGTAATTTACTTATTTAGTTTGTTTAAAATATTTGAATCATATGGATTAGAAATGGCAAGTACAAATTTTTTTACATAACTTTTTTCTTTCCAAGCAATACATTGATATAGTAACATATTATCACATTCCACACATTCAGCATCTCACCAAGAGGTGGCCCAAAAAAATCGTGTCGATCATATCCATCATATTTCCAGCAGGCAGTGAAACACTACAGGTATAAAATCAGCAAAAAACCCTCCTTGCAATGGTTTTTAAGTCACCAGGAGCCTGAATCAAAAGTTTAATCATGTTGGCATTCAAGATTAGAAATTTTAGAAGTGTTTGAATTAACTAAAGCTTTTACTTCCAGCCAAAGTAATTTTAGGAAACATCATCATCAGCCAGTTCCACAATTCAATGATTGGTGCAGGAGGCAGTTGATTCAGAGTTTGAGCGAATGATGTGGAGGTATCTAAAGTTCCCACCACCAGTGAAAACCTCAGACAAGGTAATTTTCAGCCAAAAAAATTCTGTGCAAATGTTTTTAGTGCACTCAGGACCCCTGAATTAAAAGTTATGACAGTGTTGGGAATTAAAAAATAAAAAAAGAAGTCTTCTGAAATAGTGGAGAATCTCTTTCTGAAGGTAATGACACCAAAAATATAAATTTTCATGGAAAGCTTATGGAATTATGCAGGAGCAAAGTTGGCAGTCTGGGTGCAGTTTACACATTGGCAATTTCACCCACTTTGAGTCATATTTTAAATAATTTCCATTGCTCAATTTGACCACATTCTTAGCTGTTTCACTAGGGGACTTGAGCTAGAGTTCGTCACGGCCACGCTAGCTGGAGATTCATCTGTAAAAACTTGCATTTGTGGTCACAGTGGTGCCTATGCTAACTTTCCTATGGTGTAGAAATATACCTAGTTGGACGAATCTTATTGTGGCTAGCTGGTCCAGTGGCTAATGCGACGGTCTGGAGTTTTGAGACACTCTGACCGCGGGTTCAAATCCCGCCCGTAGTATGGTTTGTTTGCAATCGTGTCATTACGATTTCATGAGTCCTGTTTCACTAGTGCCTTCCATTCAATTGAGCACAAGAAACTGCCCATTCAACTATCAGAACTACCTTATAAAGTGAACATAATTTGGTAATTTGGCCAATTTCTTGCAAAAAATATACCCCTTGGGAAAATTGTCAAAAAACTGAATATTTAAGCTATTTGGAGCTTGATATCAAGCTACTTTTGATCATGAAACCAACCATAATCATCTCTATCTCAGTGTTGTCTTACCTTCTATCAAACGATACCAAGAAACAGCCAGTAAAACCATAAAAACCATCCTTAGATAACCTCAAATTTGCTATTTTAAACCAAACATAGTCAGCAGTTGCTTTTCCCATCATGCACTGCATGAGATAGGATTTTTTTTGTACTGTGCCCACTTGCTACAAACACTTATGTCTATGCCAAAAATTACCACTCACAGCTTATCTGAGGGAATTGATCTCAAAATGTAGATCTGTGAGTGATGCTGGGGTCAGTAATGTAAATGCATGTAAGAGACAGTGGAAGAGTTTAATGAAACTTCCTTAAATAAAAAAATCATTGTCATATAATAATTGTTTACATTTTTTGCTCTGTTTATCTTCCTTTGTCATTTCTTTAAAAATGATCACATTTTCAGGTCACAATTAGAGGTCCAAAGGAGGATGTTCATAAAGCTAAACAAATGCTAGTAGACCTCAGCAATGAAAAACAATTGGCCAGCTACACTGCTGAGGTGAGAGTACAATCTTTGGTTACAGATACTTTTTTTTTTTTTTTTTTTTTTAACAAGTTAGCCGTCTCCCACCGAAACGGGGTGACCCAAAAAGGAAGAAAATCCCCAAAAAGAAAATGCTTTCATCATCATTCAACACTTTCACCTCACTCACACATAATCACTTTTTGCAGAGGTGCTCAGAATACAACAGTTTAGAAGCATATACGTACAAAGATACACAAAATATCCTTCCAAACTACCAATATCCCAAAACCCTCCTTTAAAGTGCAGGCATTGTACTTCCCATTTCCAGTACTCAAGTCCGGCTATATAAAAATAACCGGTTTCCCCTGAATCCGTTCACTAAATATTACCCTTCTCACTCTCCAACAGCTCGTCAGGTCCCAAATACCATTCATCTCCATTCACTCCTATCTAACATGCTTGCACATGCTTGCTGGAAGTCCAAGCCCTTCGCCCACAAAACCTCCTTTACCCCCTCCCTCCAACCTTTTTGAGGACGACCCCTACCCCGCCTTCCTTCCCCTACAGATTTATACACTCTCGATGTCATTCTACTTTGATCCATTCTCTCTAAATGACCAAACCACCTCAACAACCCCTCTTCAGCCCTCTGACTAATACTTTTTTTTAACTCCACACCTAATTTCCACACTGAATTTTCTGCATAATATTTACACCACACATTGCCCTTAGGACATCTCCACTGCCTCCAACCACCTCCTTGCTGCAGCATTTACAACCCAAGCTTCACACCCATATAAGAGTGTTGGTACTACTATACTTTCATACATTCCCTTCTTTGCCTCCATAGATAAAGTTTTTTGTCTCCACAAAAATCTCAACGCACCACTCGCCTTTTTTCCTTCATCAATTCTACGATTAAACTCCTTCGTAAATCCATCCTCCGACACGTCAACTCCCAAATATCTGAAAACATTCACTTCTTCCATACTCCTCCTCCCCAATTTGATATCCAATTTTTTTTTATCTAAATCATTTGATACCCTCATCATCTTACTCTTTTCTGTGTTCACTTTCAACTTTCTACCTTTACACACACTCCCAAACTCACCCACTAACCTTTGCAACTTTTCTTTAGAATCTCCCATAAGTACAGGATCATCAGCAAAAAGTAACTGTCTATTCCCATTTTGTATTTGACTCCCATAATTTTATCCCACCCCTTTCCCGAACACCCTAGCATTTACTTCTTTTACAACCCCATCTATAAATATATTAAATAACCATGGTGACATTACACTTTTTTTTTTTTTTTTTTTTTTTTATCACACCGGCCGATTCCCACCAAGGCAGGGTGGCCCGAAAAAGAAAAACTTTCACCATCATTCACTCCATCACTGTCTTGCCAGAAGGGTGCTTTACACTACAGTTTTTAAACTGCACATTAACATCCCTCCTTCAGAGTGCAGGCACTGTACTTCCCATCTCCAGGACTCAGTCCGGCCTGCCGGTTTCCCTGAATCCCTTCATAAATGTTACTTTGCTCACACTCCAAACAGCACGTCAAGTATTAAAAACCATTTGTCTCCATTCACTCCTATCAAACACGCTCAGCATGCCTGCTGGAAGTCCAAGCCCCTCGCACACAAAACCTCCTTTACCCCTCCCTCCAACCCTTCCTAGGCCGACCCCTACCCCGCCTTCCTTCACTACAGACTGATACACTCTTGAAGTCATTCTGTTTCGCTCCATTCTCTCTACATGTCCGAACCACCTCAACAACCCTTCCTCAGCCCTCTGGACAACAGTTTTGGTAATCCGCACCTTCTCCTAACTTCCAAACTACGAATTCTCTGCATTATATTCACACCACACATTGCCCTCAGACATGACATCTCCACTGCCTCCAGCCTTCTCTCGCTGCAACATTCATCACCCACGCTTCACACCCATATAAGAGCGTTGGTAAAACTATACTCTCATACATTCCCCTCTTTGCCTCCAAGGACAAAGTTCTTTGTCTCCACAGACTCCTAAGTGCACACTCACTCTTTTTCCCTCATCAATTCTATGATTCACCTCATCTTTCATAGACCATCCGCTGACACATCCACTCCCAAATATCTGAATACGTTCACCTCCTCCATACTCTCTCCCTCCAATCTGATATTCAATCTTTCATCACTAATCTTTTTGTTATCCTCATAACCTTACTCTTTCTGTATTCACCTTTAATTTTCTTCTTTTGCACACCCTACCAAATTCATCCACCAATCTCTGCAACTTCTCTTCAGAATCTCCAAGAGCACAGTGTCATCAGCAAAGAGCAGCTGTGACAACTCCCACTTTGTGTGTGATTCTTTATCTTTTAACTCCACGCTCTTGCCAAGACCCTCGCATTTACTTCTCTTACAACCCATCTATAAATATATTAAACAACCACGGTGACATCACACATCCTTGTCTAAGGCCTACTTTTACTGGGAAAAAATTTCCCTCTTTCCTACATACTCTAACTTGAGCCTCACTATCCTCGTAAAAACTCTTCACTGCTTTCAGTAACCTACTCCTACACCATACACTTGCAACATCTGCCACATTGCCCCCTATCCACCTGTCATACGCTTTTCCAAATCCATAATGCCAAAGACCCCTTTTGTTTCTAAAAACCTTAAAGGTTGGTTTCATTTTTTTTAATAATTTTAAGGGTTGTAAGAGAATCAATGCGAGGTCTTGCAAGAGGCTGGAGTTAAAGATAAAGAATCACACACAAAGTGGGAGTTGTCACAGCTGCCTTTGCCGATGACACGTGCTCTTGGGAGACTAAGAATTCCAGAGATTTGCCCTGATTTGGTGGTGCCAAAAAGAATTTTAAAGGAATACAGGAAGAGCAACGTTATACTATTCACAATTCTGATGAATTGAATATCAGATGGAGAGGAGCATGGACTGAACGTATTCACTCCTCGAGTACTCGTCAGCGATAATCTATGAAAATGAGTTATCATAATTTGTTGATGAAAACTTACTGTTTCACTTAGTCTGTAACTTTGCCCTTTGAGCCCAAGACGGAATTCATCAAATTTTAACCATCGCAATATGGTCCAAAGGGGGGGGTGATGAAAGTGCAGCGTGGACAAGGCCTGAGGCTGTGGAGATGTCTATGTTTGAGGTCAACGTGTGGTGCCAATATAATCCTGGAATTCGTAGTTTGGAACCATTAGAAATTGGATTACCAAAACGTTGACCACAGCCTTGAGGAAGTTTGTTGAGGATTCGCCATGTCTAGAGATGTAGCGAAACAGACTGACTTAAAAGAGTGTTCACTGTATGAGGAAGACTAGGGGTCACCTAGGAAGGTTGGAGCAGCTGCCACTTCCCTATCCACCCTGCGATGGCTTTCCAACCATAATGCCAAAGCTCTTTGCCTAGATGAATGGAGTCATTATTTTTCATTTGAACCTGTTGGAGGACACCCTACCTTTCTGAAGGCTCCTTGGTAACTGGCAGTCCCGACTTGAGTCTGGATTTGGAAGTAACTTCCTGCACTTTGACAGGGGTGTAATGTTCAGATTAAAACCCTGTATTGTAAGCACCCTTTCTGGCAAACATTGCTGGAGTAAAAGAGGGGAAAGTTTTTCTTTTCGCCAATCCTAGGTGCAATCCCGTTTCATAATTTATTAAATAAAAAATAAAACTATATCCCCACCTGCTCTTTCTTCTTTTCCCACAACCCTGCATTTACTTTCTTTTAAAATCCCTCATGAAATTCCAACCATGGTGACATTACACATCCAACTTTATTTTTAAAGCATGAATTGCATAGGTTTTGTACCTCTGGTGTTTCAGATGCGACATAGGCATGAGAACCTTTACCCTATATGCTCAAGTATAGTATAATTTTGTGTATTAGTTGATCTCCAAACTTTTTTCCTAAAAATGCTTAATTGTTCACCTTTCTTTGTAAATACAGTAGAACCCCTGTATCCACAGATTCTCTATATGTGGTTTCAGGTATCCACAGTTTACCATGGCCTGAAAATAACCCTTAATTTTGCTTAATGGCTACAAAGTGCATGAGTAGTGATGCTGGCAGTTCTTCAAAACCTAAGAGAAGTTGTGAAATGCTTTCCTATCAGTGAAAAAATGCTAATTCTAGACTTATTTTGCATAATTTATCAATTAAGCTTTATCATAGGTATGTATGTAAATGAAAAATGACTTGTGTATAGGGTTCACTACTATATGCAGTTTCAGGTATCCACGGTAGGTATTGGAACATACAGTGGAACCTCTAGTCACAACCACGACTCGTTCCAAAATTCTGGTCATGACCCGAACCTAATTTTCCCAATCGATTGTATGCAAACACGATTAATCTGTTCCAGACCCCTACAAACTGTATGTAAATATTGGTTTTTTAAGATTTTTAAACACAAAAATAGTTAATTATACCATAGAATGCACAGTGTAATAGTAAACTAAATGTGAAAACCTTGAACAGAGAAAACTAACATTGCACAAGTCCGTTCTAGACCCCTACGAACCGTTTGCTGTAAAAAAGGCTTTTTTTTTTTTTTTTTTTTTATAAAGAGTTTTAAGCAGTTTGAAAAATCCTTAAATATACAAAGTAATGCACAGTTTAACAGAGAAAAAACCTTAAATAACAGAGAAAAAAACATACCATGAACAACCAGGAAAACTAATGTTGTGTGAGTCAACTTTAGGTGTGAAGAAAGTGAGGAGGAAGATAAGTGGGGAGGAGGCTACTGTTTTGAGGGAGAGTCTACCTCCGCGATGGAGGGACGTTCTCCTTCAGGTGTTTTCTCTCATTTAGCTGGTGGACCAAACTTCACCATCAACTGATCTAATGTGAAATCCTGGCACTCATTCCATTTTTCTATGACAGCTTTTATCACATCACTTTTAAATCTCCTCCCTTTTTTTTTTTTCCCTCCTGACAGCTCCTTTTTGAGCACCTTGTGCTGCTTATTCGGGATTTCAGCAGGTCATTTTTGTCATTCATCCCGTGA